CCCACCATTTGCATTCCGAACCCCCCCCCGGCAGTGGGGCTGGGGCTGGTGCTCTGCCCTGCCCCCCTGCAGGACCCTCTGGGCTGCCAGCTCTGCTGTGGGGCAGGAGGGCTTGGCTGACTCTGGGGCTTGTGGTTTTGTGCTTCCCCTGGGACAGGTTGGCCCTCTCCAGTTTAAATAAGCACACAGAAGCTGTGGTTTACTACAAAAAAGCCCTGGAGCTGGATCCAGAGAATGATACCTACAAATCCAACCTGAAAATTGCAGAGCAGAAGATGAAGGAGACTCCCAGTCCAGTGAGTTCTGAACCTGGAGCTGGTTGGGGGGAGGGGGTGAGCTCAGCAGGAGGGATCTGGGGCTGCATCTGGCAGAGTCTGGGTGGACTGGGCTGTGCTGGGAATCGTGTGCAGGCAGAGGGAGATGAGTCCTGGGAATCTCCTCTGGAACCAGAGGGAAAGGTCTCTGCTCCAGCACAGCCACCCTGGGTTTGGCAGAGCTGCACAACCAGGCTGATGGCACAGGAGGGGTTTGAAGCAGCAGTTTTGCCTGCAGCACCTTTCTTAATTAAAGTCAGTGCTCCTAAAATGCAGGTTTGTCTTGTCAGTGACTTGTCAGCTCTGCCAAGGGGGCTGGCTTCCTGAAGTTTTTTTTCCCTGAAGAAAAGAAACCTGGAGGTTTCCTGGCTGGAAAGCTGCTGCCTGCCCTGCTGCTGGGCTGTGTGCAGGAACATCTTAGTTGTAATTTTGAAGGGCATTTTTATGCTCTAAAGACCAGTGGGTGTGTGTAACTGGGCTGGGGGGCTCAGCTGGGCAGGGGGGGATCCTGAGGCAGAGCTGCCCCCCTGAGCCTCATCCCTCAGCCTGTGGGGCTGTGGCTGAGCCCCACAGAGGGTTCTGGACAGGGTTTGCTGTGGGTTAAGGTGGGTTCTGGTGACACTGGGAGTACAGTGGGAATGTTGGGGGGATGCAGCAGGGGGAGCAGCAACTGCCTGTGGCTTCTCTGTCCCTGCAGACGGGTGGTCCTGGAGGATTCGACTTGGCTGGTTTGCTGAACAACCCTGGCTTCATGAGCATGGTAGGTGGGGCTGGGCAGGGTGGGGTGCAGCAGGGGGTGCAGCAGAGCAGGGTGGGGCAGCAGGGCAGGGTGGGGGGCAGCAGAGCAGGGTGGGTGCAGCAGAGCAGGGTGGGTGCAGCAGGGCAGAGGGGGTGCAGCAGAGCAGGCTGGGGTGCAGCAGAGCAGGGTGGGTGCAGCAGGGCACAGCACGGGCAGCTCCTCTGGCACTTCATGGATTTGTTTGGGTGTCTGTGGGAGGAGCCTCTGCTGGTGTTTCACTGAGGTCACATAAAAAGCCAGTGGTTTATTCCCAGGCTTTTCCCTGCCAACGTGCTGGGTGTGGAAAGGTGCCTGTTCTGCCTTTCCAGCCTGCTCTGTGTGTGACTCTGCTTTCCCCAGCTGTTTGTGTCCCTGTGAACTGTTCCCAAGCCCTTCTGCCTTGGCTTTGTGTGGCTGAATGGCACCACATCTGCCTCTCTCCCCACTCTGTGCTGACTCAATTGGCTGTGTTGGGTTTTTTTCTCTCCCCTCTTTAAACAGGCATCCAACCTCATGAACAACCCACAGGTGCAGCAGCTGTAAGTTGGGTCCCATCTTCTGTTTCCTCTTTGAGTTGCTCTCTGGTGTTTGCAGTGGGTCTGAGCTGGGGGGAGGGGGTGGGCAGCCTTTAGACCCCCCCATCACCTGAGCTAGTGTGTGTTTGGGTACTGGGGGCTGTGCTGAAAGGGGTGGAAACATTTGCAGGAGGGATTGTGGCCCTGGAACTGGGGAGCTTGGGGCCTGGAGCACCCCCAGGGGTGAGGCCAGTTGGATTTCCCCACCTTGCTGCAGAAGAACGTGCAGATAACTTCACCCTCCCTGCTCACTCTCCCCTCCCAACACAAACCAAGCCATTTCTGTCTGGTTTTTCCTGCTCTGATCCGTGTCTCCTGTCCCTGCAGGATGTCAGGGATGATCTCTGGTGGCCACAACACCATGGGGGCCACGGGCACCAGCCCCTCCACCAACGACCTCGCCAGCCTCATCCAAGCGTGAGTAGATCTGGGGCTTCCCCTGGGCTGCTCAGGCCCCGGGTTTGGGGCTTTTCTGACCAGAACCAGAACCTCCAACTCAGGGCTGGGGAAGGCCTCCGGGTTGGGTGCAGGTGCTGCCTGTGCTGGTGCTGTGAGCTGCTCCCTGGTGTGGAGCTGTGGGCTGTGGAGTGTCCTGGCAGCAGGACGGGTGTGGGTGTGAGGACCCTGATGTCACCCGTGCTCCTTCCCCCCCAGGGGCCAGCAGTTTGCCCAGCAGATGCAGCAGCAGAACCCTGAGCTAATAGAGCAGCTGAGGAGCCAGATCAGGAGTCGAACTCCAAGTGCCAGCAATGATTTTTTGGAATGAGCCCTGCAGGTGAGGCTGCAGCTGCAGCAGGGGGGCTTGGCCCAGTGTCTGGTGGCTTCACTGAGCACTTTGCTGTGTCCCCTGGGTGCTGGCTGGGATCTCTGCACCCCAGGGACAGTGAAGGAGAACTTCCCTCACCCACTGCAGTGCCTGGCACATCCCTGCTTTTATTCCACGAGGGGTTTGAGGGACGCTTGATCTCCTCAAAGGCTGAACCTGCACATCTCTTGTCTCCCTGTCCCTGCAGAGCAGCCCCTGGGAACTGTTCTTTGCTTTACCAACTGGAAGCCATGTGCGTGTTGCCATTTCTGGAGTTGGAAGTGTCCAAGAGGGGGGGGAAGAAAAAACAAGGAAAAACAAAACACTTGGTATGACCTGCATGTTAGAGACAGACTCACTCCTGCCCTCGTCTTCATCCCTGCTCCTCCTCCTCAGCCTTCCCATTAGTCTTGAGTTTTTTGCTCCTCTGGAAGATGCAGTGAGCTGAGCACAAACCAGCACCAGGGTCTCTGCAGAGCCAACGACCCACACTGTTACATTTCTGCTCTTTGCTACGTGGGGATTTTTTTTAACCCGTTTCTGAAGGCCAAGGCTCTTCAGCACAGGACCTGTGCCCCCTCCTGCCCACCAGCCACCTCAGAGGAGTGTTCACGTCCTGCCTAGGCCCTGTTTAGTCTCCCTGCTGGTTACCAGGTGGTGATGTGGGATCACTCTGGAGCTCACGGGACCTTCTCCAGGAACGGGGTTTCTGTTGGATTAGTTGCCCTGTGTCTCACACACAGGTGGGTGGTGGCCTCTCCAAGGTCAGTGGAGACGTGCCAGGGGGTTGGGACTGGCCAGGCAGAGTTTCCTTGGTGTTTCCAAGTGTTTCCTGCTTGGGCTTCCTTCCCCATCCTGGCAAAACTTGGTCTAGTGTGTCCCAGTTATGGCTCATTGTGGGAGTGACCCAGCCTGTGAGCCTGGTAGGTGGACACTGGGAGATGATGGTTTTGTTGGTGTTCAAAAGGGTTGTTTTATTTTGTTTCTTCTGCTTTTTTTAATCTGTCTGTTATGCATGGAAGTAATCAGCCTGATGGTGGGAATGGAGGGTGCCTGAGAAGAGGGAATAAAACCTGCTTGGATAGTCAGGAATCCAGCAGCAGGGGTGGGTGAGGAGCAGCTGCCAGTGAAGAGCTGCAGCCACCTCCAGCTTTCCCCCCTCCTCTGCTTCCCTGTGCCAGGAGCCAGTGCCTGTGCCCTTCCTCAGGCAAAGGGAAAACTCTGCCCAGTTCCCCCAGAGGTCACTGGCTGAGGCTGGAGGTGGGAGCTGCTTTCCAGGAGCTGTGGGGTGGGGGTGGGGAGGTCCCCTCTGCACCCCCAGGGCAGCTGGGCTGGGTGCAGGATGGAAAAGCCCTTCAGGAGAGCTGGGAGGGAGGGAGGGAGCAGGGGAGACGGGAGATGAATATCAAGGAAAACAAACGATTTGTAAAAATGCTCCATAAAGTGATCACGTGGTTGGTGTAACTTGTGAAGAATAAAATATTTGGACACTTTCTTGGTTCTCCCTCCTGCCCCGGGTGCCTGAGGAGAGACCTGGGGCCTGTCTTGGGTTCAGGGCTCTGCTCCCTGGGGGACCCACCAGGGGATTGATCCACTTCTCCCTGGTGGTTTCTGCTGGTTTCTGCAAAATACAAACAAGATCTGCCCCTTCCTGCTCCCTTGAAGTCCCTTCAGCTGGTTTTTGTGCCCTGGCCAGAGGTTTCAGACTTCAGGACTGTGGAAAGAAAAAGCTCAAGAATTAATTGTCCAGAAGGAGGAAACCAGGGATTTTTCCTCCCTGTTTGGATTATTTTGGTGCTGTTTCCTTCCCTATCAATCTCTGGACGATTTTCTACCCCCGAGCTCCACGTGCCCCCGTGTGGGGCGGTGCCCGGGCCGCGCTGGGGGAGCAAAAGAAAAACAAGTGATTTTCCAGGTGTCTCAGCCCTGCAGGGACCGACCTGTGTGGTTTTCACCCAATTTCCGTCTTTCTTTCACCAAAACTGGGGGCGGCAGGTCCCG